GAGAGACTTAAGGAAATTAGCTGTAAGGTGGAGCTGGACCGGAGACGGTCTAGCCCCTATGATTTTCTGTTTGCCTCATCTTATTTATCTAAATAAATTCAGACTGCTCACTGCTCTTTCATGCTGAGAAACTAAAATTTAGGGTCTTCCCTTTGTAAGCTTATCCAGTATTCATGTGGTTAACTTGATGTAAACTCAACCCAGTATTGGTTTCTGAAACCCCAGCAAACCCCCCCTGTCAGTAAACAAATGAAAGCATCTCCTTTATCTGTGGCAGAAGTTCCTAATGAGGCCTTTGAGACCAGCTCTCAGGTTCTATCTCCTCTAGCTCATAGTACGCTGGAGGAATTCTCCAAGGGATGGTTCCAGGAGACTTGGGACAAAGGGATTTACTCCTCCTTGAGGAAAAGAAATATCCCAACCTCCTGAAATCTGCAGTTTAAGAGACTGTATTTTGTTCCTGAGCCGCTTCCCAGGACAAAAGAAACAGTGTCCCTAGCCTCCAGGAACATAGCAATAATTTGAGATTCTTTCTGATACTAGAGACTGCTGGACTTTTCTCACTTTGTGGATTTTAGCTTCCCTTGTAAATGCCTCTTGAACATAAGGTTTTTTTCACCTCCTTCCTCTGAATAGACTCAGTTCCTTTAATGCCTTTAAAGATCACTATCTGGAAAATGTCTCCTTCCTATTTCTAAGGTCAGAAACAGTGAGTGGCTGTTGGTAGAGTAATTTAAAATGGAATATCAAGTGCATTTTTCAAAATCTTACTGTGTTCCCTTTGGTTTTCAGTATTTGGTTGGTCATATTGAATCTCATGTCCATTAATATTACATTTCTTCATGCTTGTCTTGCTGTGGTAATGGATTGAAGGACATGAAATTTAGCAGAGATGTAATAATGGTCTTCAAATATTTGAAGTACTAGCATGTTGAACAGGAAATAGAAGGTGGAATGATGTGGGAGGGGGTAAGTTGCAGGAGACAGATACCGAGTCAATAGAAAGTAACATTTTCTAAGAATTAAAATCAATCAAAAATAGAATTGATGATAATACATCTATATGAATCCATGTAATGAAATAGTATGCATCATTGGAAATCAAAAAAATGGGAAGTCTATAGTACCATTATGGGAAGTGTTTGAAATAGAACATTAAATGAAAAAAGCTAGTGGTATGTGCAGCCTGATTCCATTTGTTTAAAATTGAAATGATATGAAAGTATGCATGATCGTACACAGAACGTTTCCAGACAAGAATAAACAACAACAAACTACAAATCTTGTTTACCTCTGGACCAGAAAATGTAGAGGGAAAAGCTAAATTCAATTTTTATCTTTCTGTACAGATGGTTTTTTTCCTCCATGAGCATTTTTATAAATTAAAAACCTCGTTTATTTTTTTTAAATGAAGGTGGTATCTTACCCCAAATAAAAGTTCTGCTAACTCACCAGGTGATGAATTCCAATCATTGTAAGCACTGAAAGGGAATTTGAGAAACTGTTCATGAAGAATGCTGTGCTTTTAAATTTGCTTCCTAACTCAAAGGTTCTATGATTTAGTTATATTTAAAGGGCTTAAAAAACTACCAAGCCCGTGAATTTTTCCAGCTTGCCTGTGGTTGGAAAGACTTGAACAATGAAATGGATAAGATTAGCTTCTTGCTCAGAATTGGTTATCAGGTCTAGGCAGAAAATTAGTTCTCTGAAAGGTAACTTTCTGAATGTTTTAAGGTGTAGAGAGATATTTTTGGTTAAAGACCTGTAATCCAGGGAATAGAAAATGATGTAAAATGTTGCTTTTCTAAGTGACGGGGATTCCACTGAAGGAAGTGGACATTTTATTTCAGCTATCGTGATCCTATCAAGCTAGGGTGGCCACTCATGGGGTCTCTGCCATCTTGATGAGTCATAATTTTCCTGAGGGGACGCTGAGAAGACATACAGAATTGTGGGAATGCACAAGCCCAGTGCAGTCTCCTCTTCTATCACCTAAGTTATTTATGTTTTTCATTCTCCTTAGTGTAGGTAGAATTGATTTTCTGGTTACCTAAATATTTGAGTTTTATTATGTTCAGTAATACATTATGAATTTCAATTATATAGGAACACTTTAGGGACTAGCCCATCTCCACTTCTCCCAGGAAAATCAACACATATTTTGTTTTATATTTTCTCAGTATTTTGAAACTATTTTATATTTTTCTCTTCTCTTCAAAATCTTTAGTAAGCAAATTCCAAAAATTGGTCTTCATTCAAGCAGTTGCATCCCACAGTAATAATTAAAATAAAAGTTCTGCTAACTCACGAGGTGATGAATTCCAATCATTAGAAGCACTGAAAGGGACTGAAAGCACTGAAATTGTCTCCTACTATTTGGCTTATCATGGATTTTTGCCTTAATTTTAATTTTTGAAAATGTTGCCTTAAGTATGAGGTTTATGATAGATCAAAATGTATGTTTAAAAAATTTTTGTGATACCATTTATAATAGTGAAGCTATAGCTAGATAGATACATCAAAAGATAGATAGATCGGTAAATAAATAGGTAGATTCTCTGTACGTTACCCAGGAAAAAAACATTTTTAGCATTTTGGTACATTTACTTCTTTAATGACATGTATATCATTGAATGTGTTCCCTTCCTTTGTTCATTCCTCTCTTATATCCATTTCTTTCTTTTTAATTTTTATAAAATTATGGTGTGTCTATCAATCTCTCAGTTTACCTACCTACCTATCAATCATATTTTTCCATATCAGTACTTTTTCAATTTGTAGTGGCTGCACAGTTCCCATCAGGTGGA